AATTTCATTTCCCGCCATGTTATTTGTTACCAAATTATATTTGGTGGCGGATTGTGTTGTTTTTGTTACTAAACTTGGTAACTAAAGCTTTGATAATTTCAGCTACCAAAGTTTGGCAGTAAAAAGTGTTCTGCTATCAAAAATTTTTTAGTATCAAAAAGTTTAATCTCCTAAAGTGATTATTCTTGTAGTGAAAGAAGAGATTGTATGATTAAACTCTCTTTGAAATTATAAAACATGCGCAAAGGGTTGTGCAAAATTTGCCTGAAACGGTCAGGCTAGACTAACCTGACAGTTTCCAACTAGACTGGCAGTTTGGTTACACGTCAGAACCACCTATTGACAATCTAAGGCCTTGTTCATTTCATCGATTCGAGTTTAGAATTCGAGTTTTGCTACAGTAATTTTAAGTTTTTTAAAATCACATCTCAACTCGAATCAGCAAACTAAACGGGTCCAAAATGCATACCAAACCATTTTCAAATGGTCTAGTCTGGTTCATATTGAAATTTTATATATTGAATTGTCTTTTATATACTTAGTAAAAAGATGAAATATTAACTTTATTTGTTATATTTAAGCTTTTTATCCTCAAAGAATACTAATTTTAATGGGCTATATTTAGTATATGATTTTGTTTACTTGTTTTATTTAACTTTTATTTAGACTTTTAAGAAATATGAAATATAGGCCTTCTTCATTTCATATATTCAAATTTTCAGTTTTAAGTTTCTATATTTAAAAGCTCTTAGAAAATATCACATCTAACTTTCTCTGTTACAATTAAAAGCTTTTAGAAAATATCACATCTCAGTTCGAATTAAAAATTTGAATCTATAAAGTGAACGAGACTATAATAACTAAAACTTAAGAAAAAAAAAATTCCGATCCGGTCCTATTGTCCGAAACAGTGAGGTTTCATTTGAAAGTTCTTCAAATCGTTAAAACGGTCCAATTTAAAAAAGGAAAATAGTAGAAAATAAGCTAATATGAAAAGCTTAAGAAAGTATATAGGCTAATTTTTAGTTATAGAAATTAATAGGTCATAACTTGTCAAGTTATGGTTCATAAACCAGATAAGTTATGGACAAATTTGTCAAGTTATGATTCATAGCCAGACAAGTTATAGACAATTATGGACAATAACTTGTCAAGTTATGGTTCATAACCAGACAAGTTATGGACGAAAACAATAATTTGGCCTATTTATTAACTTATGTAAACTATTGACCTATTAATTTTAATTCATCTCAAGTATTGACATATTTCTCTCTTTCTCCCTTTAAAAAACTTGGTCTGGATCGTGTACAGCCCAATGCCGGACACAATTTTTTGAGCACTAACATTCATTGCACGTTTAATAAATGTGGAAAATATGGTAATAACACCAACCATATTGTTGCACCGCATACAATCCAACATTTCTAATTCAAAATGTATTGGATTTCTAAATATGGCATCCCATTCAAATCAATTTCTACATTAAATCCAATATATACCCACTTGAATTTAAATTGAGCTGATACTAAGTATCGATATTTACACTTTAAGGCCCTTGAAAATCCTTGAACCTCGTAACATTTTTGCACGTTATGTAATTCATTTCATAAAATTTTAAGTTTTTAAGAAACGTCATTACCTATATAAAATTTTAAGAATTTATTGTCGGTTTTAGTGTTAAAATTAATCAAAGCTAGTGAAGTATAGCGTTTGAGGATTAATCAGTCAAAAACAAGTTAAGATCATCAAACTATCGTATGTTTTCTTTTTTAAAAGTAGAGATAGCTGAAAGTCCTATTAGAGTATAAAAAGGGCCTTAAGCTTGTTCTCCATACTTAAGAAAATAAATAAATAAAAACACGTGGGGACTTATTTATTTATTTATTTGCTGAATATGCTTGATATAGTTTTTTTTTTTTTTAAATGAAATGCTTTATATTTTTAAGCTACCACTTTGGTGGTAGTCTCAAGTGATATAAGAGATCTCAAATTCGAGCCCAGTAAAAGCGCTTGAGATTATTTAGACTGTTCATTAGCTCTTAGGAAGCTAAGGTGACACTTATTTTCCAACCTAAATAATCATGACTCAGTGCAAACATTACTCGGCACATGAAGTTCCCTTTGGTCACACTCAAGAGTCCGACAAGTCGCCTCTTCATGGCAGAGTTGCAGCCTTATATATTATACTAGTATAGTTAGCATGTGGGAGTAATTTTATATGTTTGACCTCGTGTTTTAACACGCGACCTCCTTAGAAATGAAGTTTATTAATTGAAACAGGATAAAAAAAAGTATTTAAAAAAATCACATTGACAAATAATTAAAGTTATATAAGAGTTTTTTATTAAAAAAAAACTTAAGTAGAGACATATTTAAAGTATTTATTTTAAGTAAAAGAAAGTGAGAAAAAAAAGTTTAAAGAAGGATATTGTAAAAAAAAAAATGAATTGCCAAAAAAAAATATTAAGGGAAAAATTAAAAAAAAAAGGCAAAATAAAAGAATAAAAAATTAAAAAAGAAAAAGAAAAAAATTAAAAAAATAAAAGTTACAAAGGAGTTTTTTTTTTCTTTTTCTTTTTTTAAAAAACTTTTGTAGAGTCATATTTGAATGGAGATTCTTTAGTACACTTGGCATACTGATAGGTCAGGTTTTTCTAACTGTTATATCTACATACTTTTTTATTTTTACGTGATTTTATGCAAATCTGACGGACAAAAAACTAACCTACCAGTATGTCAGAGTACTGGAGATGGTCCCATATTTGAAAGGAATTGTCATATTTAAAAGAAAGTACTTCAAGAAAGGATATTGTAAAACAAAATGAATTGCCAAAGAACATTAGAATAGAAAACAAGGGACCTTCACATAAAAGTAAAGAAATACGTAAATTTAACAGTTAAAAAAAAACCTGACTTACTGATACACCGATATACTAGAGAATCTAAAAAAAAAAAGATAATAGGCAAAAGAAAAGAAGAAAAAAATAATTAAAAAAGGTTAAAAAAACAAAGAGGAAAAGAGAAAAAGAGGAAAAGTTAGAAGAAGACGAATGAAGAAGAATGCAAATTTGTGGTCTCATTATAAGCCAAGTCCAAAAGGCGACTTGGCTCTTTTTATATATATTAGATTAGATGTTGAATAATAGATAGAAAAAAGAAAGGAGTCTTTGAAGAAAAGAAAAATAATAAAAAAATTAAGTAAAAACATATTTAAAAGAAATTGTTTTAATATAAATAAATTGAGGTAAAAAAGTATTTTGAAAGAATATGTAATAAAAAAGTTAAAATGCTTAGAAGCGTGCAGCACTTGAGAAGAAATCAAAACAAAAATAGGTGAGAAAAGAATTAAAAAGAAAAGGAAAAGAGTAAAAGTAAAAAAAAAAAAGCAATAAAGAAAAAAGGCAATAAGGAAGCCTACCTATATTAGATTAGCAAAGTAGGAAAAGAAAAAGGGAAAAAGAAAAAGAGAGCAATGATGTCACGTGGCAGAAAAGAGTTTTGACTCTTTTTATATACTAATTTTTTAACATGTTCTGTATTATCATGGTGTAAATATTTAAAGAGTTTATTTTTTATCGAATAACGAGAAATTTATTTATATAATTATTTAAATATTTTTAAATTTATTTTAAAAAAAAAATATGCGTAAAGATAATATTTTATATGATAGGAATTACACGAGAAAAAAAATTAAGTTGAACACATTTGAAGAAAATTATTTTTACGATTGATAAAAAATAAAATAAGAACACATAGGAAAAATTACTTTCATGGGAGTAGAGTGAGATAATTATATTTTTAAAAAGCACACTAAAAAATTAAAATGTATAAAAAATTCAAAAAAATAAAAAACACAAAAAATAAAAAAAATAAAAAATAAAAAGAGAAAAAGAGAGGTAAGAGGAGGGGTTGCCATGTGGCAGCTCCATAGAAAAGAGCTTCGGCTCTTTTATTTTTGTTAGATTAGATTAGATAATATTAGATAATAGCTTATCATATATAGATCATAGATTAAATTAAAAATTTACAACAGAGGATATAGAATTGCTCCTATTCCATATCAGGCCATTGAAAAGTTAATATAATGACTAAAATATTAGTTCCTTTTGGTGGAATAAAATGCATGTCTTATCATAAATTTTGTCTAGAAAATAATTATGATGTAAAGGTGGTTTTAAAAAAAATGTAAAAAGAAAATATTGAGTAAGTACACATTTAAAAGAAATTATTTTAATAAGAGTAAAGCAAGAAAAAATATCTCAAAAAACACATTGTAGTAAATAAATTATAGACGAGTTTTCAAAAAAAATAAGTAAAAAGAAAGAATTAGAAAAGCAAAATAAAAGAAAGTGAGAGCTGATAAGTGGTAAATGGAGAAACAGGAATGCAAAGAAAGTTTTGCTATTTTATGTATGTTATAGAAATAGATTATAGATTAAAGATTACAGATGTTATATTATAGATTTCGCTGAGTTTAGCCAAAAAAAGATTAGATTTCGCGGAAAGGATATAGTTGAGGAAAACGACTGAAATTAACCAGAGCAAAGAGAGGCCTACAAGCGTCACATCTCTTCACTCTGTTTTTGTGGTTTCCAAGTCTCACATTTGCTGAGAACTTTGGATAAAGTTTTGTCGTCCTCTGCGAAGATCACATAGGCTAAACTCTATATGTTTAGGAAACTACCAAATAGTACTAAAGCACGTGTCTTTAGTATTACACTGTGCTTTTGACATGGATATCAAATTTCAAGTTATTTACAAAAATTAAACCTTTAAAGCTAGCCAAGATTAAGGCTTCATATTCTCAGCTTCAAGATAACATATATAATATGCTGTGCTAGTAGCCAATATATAAAGAGTTATACACTTTTTGTGCAACTATTTTTTTTCCATACTATATATCAAACGAAACCATAAGAATTCATCTACATATATATATATATATATATTATATTTTTCTCCGCAGGTAGTTGATCTCCTATGGACCCACTTGCCGGGCACAATATTGCGGAAAAGAGCAAAGAAAGGCTGATAATCTTAGGCAGTTTTAAGGAAGAGGAAGATGACGAAAGAAGTACTACTACTAGCTGTTTGTGTCTAAACTCCATGAAGAAGAAGATGAACAAGTTTTGGAAAGATTCGGTAGATTTCGCCAGAAAAGCATGGGAAATGGGACGTTCCGATCCCCGGAAAATCATTTTCGCGTTTAAAATGGGGCTGGCTTTGGCACTTGTTTCGCTGCTCATTTTCTGGAAGGAGTCATACCATGACATCGATCAATATGTGATCTGGGCAATACTCACCGTCATTGTGATGTTTGAGTTCAGTATAGGCACGTAATATTATGATTAATGCACTAGAAAGTACTATTGTTGGTACTAGTTTAATTTATTATTCTTTGAATTAAGTAATTTTGTCGATTAATTAACTAACACGACCCTTTTAATTCATGCAGGTGCCACTTTGATTAAAGGGTTTAATCGTGGATTAGGAACACTAATAGCTGGAATACTCGCATTCTGCTGCGCGCAGCTGTCTAAGCTGGTGGGCGACCGGTGGGGTGAAGTTATAATCGTCATAAGCGTTTTCGTAGTAGGTTTGTATTAACACTACTTTATTGCACACAAAAAAAAAAAAAAAAAAAAAAAAAAAAAAAAAAAAAAAAAAAAGTCAAAGAGCATGCAAGAAATTTATTATGGTAGTACATGTTTTTAAATGTTATAAGTTTGGTAAAAAGAATATGATATACAGAAAAGTTAACAGGATTTAATACAGACATCAAGATTCAATATAAAGGCTCAACGGTTAAATTTAGGATTCTCATTAATTTTTGAATGTTATTAGCATTTTTCGCGTCATATTTGAAGCTCTGCCCAACAATGAAACCCTACGAATATGGGTTCCGAGTGTTTGTATTGACGTATTGCATACTAATGGTGGCTGGGCTTAGAACTGGGCAGTACAATGAGGCAGTGGTGACTCGGTTGGTGCTCATAGCATTGGGTGCTTGTGTGTGTTTTGTGGTTAACATTTGCATCTTCCCAATTTGGTCCGGTGAAGATCTACATCACTTGGTCGCCAAAAATTTTAAGGGCGTCGCTTCCTCCTTAGAAGGTAATCTAGTCTAGATTTTTTTTAAAAAAAAAAAAAAAGCATTTAATTAACGTTGATGAGATATTTGTTTTATTTTTTAGCAACATTAAAAAGGCTGCATTGGTGCCTCTGCCTTAGCAATAATATTGTTATGCATTTCTGCGAGTGGGGCGGGTCTACTTTTTGTATTTTACTGAGCCCTTCTAAATACTCGCCAATATACTCAACGTTCTTTTACTATACATGTACTTTTTTGAGATTTTTTTTTAAAGATATCATCTGTAATAACTAATCTTAAATTTGATTAAAATCATGTTAAAATAATATTAAAAGAAAGGTATGTTAACGGATAAATTTTGATATACATTTAAAGGTTTAAAATGGAGCTACTAAAAAGTTTTTTTTTTTTTTTTTTTTTTTTTCAGAAAAAATATTCCGTAATATCAATTTTGATCACGTTCTTTTATCTTGTTGTCATGTCATACCTGTAATTACTAATACTCATTTTTGTAATTGCAACAATAGTGTGTGCTGACATAAGAAAAAATAATTGAAATACATTTTCAGTGCTATAAAAGAAAATTATAATCCTTGTTATTTTAAATTTGATGAACTGAAATTGGTTTTCCAACCTTGTTCTCAGGTTGTGTAAATGGTTACCTTCAGTGTGTTGAATATGTGAGAATCTCTTCTAAGATTCTGACATACCAAGCTGCCGAGGACCCACTGTACAAGGGATACCGGTCGGTTGTAGAATCTACAAGCCAAGAGGAAACTCTGGTAACATATGAAACTAGGAAGACACAATACGGATTCATCATTTATGTCGTCTGTCTTTTTTCTTTTGCTTGACGTGAGAGAATATTTACTGCTCTTTTTGACATGAATTTTTAATTCTCTACATCTGTAGCTAGGCTTTGCAATATGGGAACCACCTCACGGACGTTACAGGATGTACAATTACCCGTGGCAAAACTACGTCAAAGTGAGCGGTGCGTTGAGGCACTGCGCCTTCATGGTTATGGCACTTCATGGATGCATTCTCTCCGAGATACAGGTAAATAACGTACACAAAGAATGTGATAGAGTAAAAGTTTACAGAGTAAGAAAAAGGATAATCTTAAACCGGTAGGGCACGGTTCTGGATCATTGTACTAATAAGTTAATCAAGATTTTTTTAGGAGAAAATAGACAAATACTCCTTAAAGCGTACGAGTCTGAATTCTTACTTTTTATTCTTAATTAAAATTTTAGTCAAATAACTAGTAAGGGGTAAAAATATTGACTTATGCACTTTAAGAGTAAGTTCAACACTTTTTGATAGAAAATATCCTTTGGTGAAAACCATCACCTAAAAATCCAAGAACGTTCATGTTGGATCACAAAGAATCAATAGACCAATAAGCGAAACCGTACATAAATCCATAACGGCCAATTACTCTCTAGAGCCGTGCGGTTTGCCTTCTAGATCAACACGTTTTCCTATAAAATTCATTAACTTTCTCTCTGCTCTTTCTGATGATGGGATGTCAGAAAGAATAGAATGTAACATGTGATCTAGGGATCATAACCGCTATATATAGATAACTTTCTTATTATCTTTTAGTATTCCTATTTTAAATCATCATAAAAATAAAAATTACCCTTAATCTCTACACATTAAAGGCACATACCCTATCAGATACATTAAAATCTAAATTTCTTAAACCTTAATAGATCACTTTTAAACGAACTTAACCTTCCGCAGCACATAATTATTCACATATAAAGTTAACGTATTAAGGATCTAATACTTTTCACTCTTTTTTTTAATAGTTAAATTTACGTGATATTAAATTCTGATGTCAGTATAATTAACATTCATAAGCTGTTTATGTTTTTAACTGATAGTGACAGAGAATATACCGAATTATATGAGCACAAGTCTGAATATTTTACTCTGTACTCTTGTTTGCCTTTCATGAATGCTCCTGAAGAGTACGGTGAGGGTGGTATTACCTGGAAGTTTCGTGAAAAACATGTCATCAGATGACCAGTGTTGAGCTGTTTCCATGATCTAATAATAGATGTGACATGTAGATTTAAAATCATCATTGCTACTATTATAAGTAGCACGTTTTAAAAAAAAAAAAAAAAAAAGGTAACATGTTTTCAATACTTTCAAAATATCTCAGCACCAATAAGTATTTGATTAACATCGTTTTGATCTTTTTCTTTTATGTTTTTTTGCTCTAGTCGTTTTTATTTGTCCATTTGACACTTTTTTTTTTTTTTTCATAGGTTTCTCACCCATAATTATTTTATGCCCGACAACTAGATTCCCAACAATGTGGACTTCATATAATTGATATCGTCCCAAAACATCAATAGCTTCAATTATTAATTCAATTCAATCAATAACTTAACTCGTTACAAGATTTTTCATTATTGTTGTCGAAATAGATAATATTAGACATGCCAGAGCAACCACTAACAACTCATGTGACTTCTGTACCGCGTAGGCTCCAGCTGAGAGGAGACAAGTCTTTCGCAGTGAACTTCAGAGGGTCGGCTCAGAAGGCGCAATAGTCCTTCGCTTGCTTGGAAACAAAGTGGAGAACATGGAAAAACTTGGTTCCAAAGACATACTCAAAGAGGTTCGTGAAGCAGCTGAGAAGGTGCAGAAGAAGATCGACCATAGATCTTACTTACTAGTCAATTCTGAAAGCTGGGAAATCGGAAGACGACATATTAATGATGAACTAGTGCAAGTGGAGAATATTAACGATCATCAAAATGGTGATTATCGACTGGGATCTAAGTCATTGAGCGAGACGGTGCTTAACATAGGCACTGTTCCTATGGCTCGCACGCCTTCTGCACCACCGAGTGATCATGAGCATAACAATGCGCCTTGGCCCTCGCGGATGTTGTTTATTGGCAATGTGGGAAAAGAAGAGAAGAATTACAAAACGTACGAAAGTGCGAGCGCTTTGTCTCTTTTCACGTTCGCTTCGCTTTTGATTGAATTTGTTGCGAGGCTTCAGAATGTGGTTGATTCTTTTGAAGAGCTTAGTGAAAAAGCAGACTTTAGAGATCCTGTTGATATGACCGTAACCATGGCCGCCGGTAAGAAAAAGAGGTTTGGTCTTTGTGGGGGATTGCTTTGCTGCTAATTCAGGTTGGAAAGTTAAGACTGCAATCTGTGGTTCATGGTAGCAGAATAATCTAGATCGTCAAAACTCGTGGAGATCACTGATGTTTTTCCACGTTACGTTCAACAAACTTTTGAGTCTTGAGCTGAGTTTCAATATATATGTGTGTGTGTGTGTGTGTATGCATACATATATGTGTATTCAAATGAAACAAGATATCTCAGGGAGCTGTTGATGATGTTTTGCACTTGATCCTTATAAAGTGCATGGGAATAATTTTCATGATTTTTAGGAATTAATGCACAAGCAGCACCATTTTTTTGATGAATAATCTATTTTTTATGTTTTTCTTTATTTTTCGTCTTTAAAAAATACAATAAAAACGACGCCAAAAAATAATGAAATTTTGCAGACATCCTTACATTTTTCTAGGCATGTCAGAAATAAAATGACCTAAAAAAATGACACAAAAGGTAAAAAGCTGTCAAAAATCCCCCGGCCTATTGAGAGAAAATACTGTAGTAATAGAACTTGAGCTTTGAAAAGAACAATACCTAAAAGTTTATTTAATTTAAGAATCTAAATCCTAATGAACATTAAATAGACTAAAAGATCTTAAAAAATAATAAAAAAAATCCTCTCCTTTCACTTCTTTGTATTGCATGGGATAAACTAGCTGAGCAATTTTACACTAAATTGTTGACCCTCATTTTTTTTAACATGATTTCTGTTAAAATTCGTGATGGAAGGAGTTTGTTGTTCACATTTCATAGAATCCGGAAGCAGATGTTATATTTTGAAAATTAAGGGCACATTGTTACAAGAATTATTGTTGCAGGGAATTTCTATAAATTGAGGGCACATTGTTACAAGAATTATTGTTTCAGGGAATTTTTATAATTAATGCTTTATGGAATTACACCAAAAAAATAATAATAAAATAAAATAAAATAAAAAGGACGCAGCAAATCAGGACGTCTTCGTTTCACAGTAGAGACAAGCCGTAGAGGTTTTTTTCTCCGACTCTGGAAAAAAGCAGTTTCAGAAGCAAAAAATCTTCCGCTCAGCAAAGGAAAGGCCTTGGCGACGACTCCTTCGCGATCTTCTCTTTTAAGGTAATCTAGGGTTTCTGATTTCCTTCTCTTTGTGATTTTCTTTTCAATCACTATTTTTGAGTTTAATCATTCAATAATTTTAGTGTCGATTGTGATCTAGGCTTTCTGTAGGGCTAATTGATTTAAAAGCTCTAAATAATTTTTCTTTGTATAAGTGTATTCTTATTTGGATTTGTAAAATTGTTATCTTCGATTTTTATTTCACTATTATTCATGAGAACTAAATCGAAAAGTGAATTAGGTCAGTCACGAGTAATAACAACTCCAAAAGTTTTGTATTTCCTGGTCAAACCTTGTTGTTCATCTCGAGGTAAACGGCATGCTTAACTTTCCAGCAAAGTAGAAAAGAAAAATACTACGAAAGTTCTTGACCATATAAGGTGTCCCCGTTTTTTTTTTTTTTTTTTTGAGGGTGCTTTTTCAGGCAACACAAAATGAAAGAAAGAGCTTTTTCAAGCTCTTTTATTTAGCATTTTCATTCTTTTTTTCCTTTATATACTAGTACATTCATTATGGGAACAAAACAAGAGGGCAGGCTTTGATTCATTTTCCGAAGTTCCAACCCGTGATTAATATATATTTTCAATTTGACCTTAGAAAGTTGCACATAAATTTTGGATGTTGGCCCGTCTCTTTTCCAACATGTGATCCGGAAAGGTGCATTGATTTTCATGACCCAAGTCTTCATCTCATGGGATTTATGCTCTGATTATTATTATTATTATTTCCTTTTCACCATCAAGCGAGGAGATGGCCTGTCAACTTCTGCTTGTGTTTTGATCCATTGGTCTTTGATGAATCACCTCTCTGTGGGTGGGTTCCAAAAGGAAATGGGGCTTCTTTACGTCTACAATATAATGTTATAATTAATTTTAATTATAAATTTAATATTTGAGTATAAAAAATATTCTTTAATATAATATTATTTATTGTGTTAAATTTTTCATATGTTATATTTTTAGTAAATTTTTTACCAAGTAAGAAATATGATGTTTAATTGCTGTTAGTTAAAATATTTACTTTTTTAATGTAATCATGATAACTTTCACATTTTTTAATTATTTTAAAAATAAAAATTTACTTCTACAACTTCAAAACTTAATGATTATAGGAAAACTTAATTATTATGAAAAAAGTAAATTTAGTCTTTCAAATTGCATCATACATTTGAGTAAAAATAAAAATAACATATCATATTATACTTTTTAATACTAAATATACAATTAGGATTAGCATTTACATGGTCTAATTACTCAATACCAAAAGATATTATGGGGTTTGCTTGGGTAAAGCTATGAAGCGTGATATAATAAAATTAAAACGACGTCAAAAAATAATGAAATTTTACAGACACGATCCTTAGATTTTTCTAGGCTCGCCTGAATAAAATGGCCTAAAAAATTGACAAAAAATAATAAAACGCTGTCAAAAAACCCCCCGGTCCGCGTAGTTGGGCGCCGAGGTGTCAGCTCACAGGGGTCGGGATTGGTCAAAAATTTATATTTTTACTTATGTTTTGCATTCTAAAATTAATATATGATTTTTAGGAATTAATGTAACAAGCGGCACTATTTTTTTTTATGAATATTCTATTTTTATGAGTTTCTTTATTTTTTTTGTCTTTAAAACTATAAGAAAATAAAAACGACGTCAAAAAATAATGAACTTTTGCAGACAAGATGCATACATTTTTCTAGGCTTGTATGAAAAAAGTGGCCTAAAAAATTGACAAAAAAAAAGTAAAACGCTGTCAAAAAGCCCCCGGCTCGCGTAGTTGGGCGCTAAGGGGTCAGCTCAGGGGCCGGAATGGGTCCAAAATTTACATTTTTATTTATATTTTTATTTATATTTTGTATTCTAAAATTAATATATGATTTTTAGAAATTAATGCAACAAGCGGCACCATTTTTTGATGAATATTCTATTTTTTATGATTTTCTTTATTTTTCGTCTTTAAAAAAATATAATAAAATAAAAACGACGTCATAAAATAATGAAATTTTGCAGACACAATCCTTATATTTTTCTAGGAATGCCAGAAAAAAATGACCTCAAAAATGACAAAAAAAAGTAAAACGCTATCAAAAAGCCCCCGGCCTACGTTGTGGGGTGCGGAGGGGCTAGCTCAGGGGCCGAGATGGGTAAAAAATTTACATTTTTATTAATGTTTTGTATTCTAAAATTAATTTATGATTTTTAGGAATTAATGCAACAAGCGACACCATTTTTTGATGAATATTCTATTTTTTATGTTTTTCTTTATTTTTCGTCTTTAAAATATATAATAAAATAAAAACAACGTAAAAAAATAATGAAATTTTATAATCACAATCCTTATATTTTTCTAGGAATGCCAGACAAAGATGAATCCTAAAAGTGTTTGATTTTTTTTATAGCGAAAACAACAGAAATAAAAAAAATGAAAACCAAAGAAAAGGAAACTAGTAAAATAAAAATAAAAATAAAATGTACTTACATCTTTCGCTCAAAATCTACTGATCAGTCTTGCTAATAGCACCTCCCCGGCAATGGCACCAAAATTTGATTAACGCCCAAAAGTGATGTTCACAAGCGGTCAATTGTAGCACAAAAGGGCGGTCGTATCCACATAGAGGTAACAAACTAAACAAGAAAGATTAACATAATAAGAGCGTTAGATAAAAATAAATAACAAATAAATTAATGAAAAAGAAGAGTTTTTGAAGACTTTGTTGCAAATAAAAAAGAGAGAAGATTTGTGTGGAAGAAATTCAGTAATAAAAACGGTAAGGTGTCGAGAATCCCTAATGTTTCGTTCTCCAATTCAAGTTTTGATTCACAAAATAAAATGGTCGATTAAATTAAATCTCTATGTTGACTCCGTAAATATTATCATTACAAGTTATCTAAAATCGACAATATATCAATTTTACAATATTGCAGTAAAAGACAATTTGCAAAATAATTTGAATAACAAAACAATGCGTGACAGAATTACATAAGAAAAGCGTGACTGAACTTATATAAAAATTGGCACACAATATTTTGAAAAGTAAAAGAAAAATAGATGAGATTTAATTCATTCCGATGTTGAAGTTTACAACACAAGGAATCAAAAACCCGAATTGGGTCACTAACAAATGTTCATCTCTAACCTCACCAAAAGAACTCTAGCCTAGCTTGCAAAACATTCTCACAAGTTCTAAAGAGAAAATATGAAACTGATGGCAAGACGACAGAAAACTGAATATTAAAAACTTACAAAAATCTTAGGCTAGCCCTTCTATTTATAGTGTTCAGAGGTTGCCTGTCAAATAAGGAAATAAATAATAAAAATAGAAAATTACAAAAGAAAAGGAAACAAAATAAAATTACACATAAATTAGGAGAAATCATATATATGATTTGAGGAGGAAATCCAGTCATTTGCTCTGATTTTTGGGGAAGAAATTCGGATTCAGCACCATAGAAGACACGTGTTGCATTACAATTGGAAGAGAGAAGTTAACTCGCCACATGTCACGCTCGGAGTGGAAGAAGTGTGATGGCGGTTGAGACAGCTGGGACCCGTGTTGGACAGGTGGCATGCACGGAATGAGCGGCAGGTCTGGCATGAGTAGGCACGGGGTCCGCGGAAGCCAACTGTCATGCACGGAGAAGAAGAGCAGGCTGCACGTTGACACGCGGACCCACACGGGAGAAAACAGGGACACGCTTAGCTGCTGCGTGCCAAGGATGCACCCGCTTAAATGGGACTGTGTTGGAGACGCGCGCTTGCGCGAGTTGAAGCGGTTGGTGCATTGGGGCCCGCTTGCTGATGTGACTTGGCCGGCTCAGCTACTCAGCTCAATTGGCTCGACTCTCACTCTGTGATTGGCTTGTGTGGCTCGGCTAAAAGGCTTGAATTGGCTGAATATAGCTTCTTATTATGTAACTTTTTACACTACTTTTCATATGCAAATAATTGAGCAAAAACTAGACAAATTCCAATTAAAAATATTCTGAAAAAAAATAATTGAATTGTTTAATTAAAGCTTAAATATTTTTATATTATATAAATCAAAAGCAGTATTTAGGGTGCATTTTCGTGCACTTATCACATAAGGAATCTTTTCCATCTCTTTTATCTCAAGTTCATTCTTGGGGCACTGACTGAGACTAAACTTGTCTCCCTTAGCTACGGGTGTATCTCATGATGAACAATTCTTCATGCCA